GGGCTACAGTTCTTGTCGATACCAACCGTCGTCGGGGTCATCCCAGAACATTGACGTGAAGGCTACCGAGAGGTGGTCGCAGAGGGGGTAGATAGGTTGAAACCTGCCGGGGCGTCGGGCTGACTGTGGCACTTCCGACAGCTCGGCCATTTGACAAGACGGTGAAAAGATGTCACTGGCAAAATGTCGAGCCCATGCGACGCCATCTCGAACGTGAATTGCTCGTGACCGCTCCTAAGGTAGATCTCTCCTCGCGCATCAATGGAAACTTCTCGGACTCGTTCATGACTGGATGCACCTTGCAAGAAAAACGATGCCACGAGGTGGGCATCCCCCCTCGAAGTCACGCACGCTTCAAGTTGCCACGGCATGGCGACCACGGACGTCCCTGCGGTCAGCGATTACTGCGGCGGTCCCCTCGCTTGTTTGAGGGTTTTTTTCGCTGCGTTGTATCGAAGTACGAAGGGGTGGGCGGAGTCTCGGGTCGACATCGGCAAGGCGCTGAAGACAATTCGTTGCCTTGCTCCATGCATGCGACTCCCTCCTTTCAGGGCTCTCCACTCTAGTGACAGTTGATGGCGGTGCCTCGATAGCACCGCGGGGGGAATCCATGTCAGAGGTGCATTGTCTCGACCGTTTCCAGTCGAGTCCACGGCGAGTTCAGTCGGCACGGTGACACTTTACGCATGCTGCGCTGGGCGAGCGAGCCCGCGATGGCGTGGAACGAGGACGGTCTGCTGCATCCGTTCGTGAAGCTCAAATGTGGCATGACAGTGGAGCCGTTGACAAACTCGAAGTTCTCTGTCCATTAACGTATTGCGCCGATATCACGTGTCCTATTCATGCGGCAGATGTCCGCTTCATGACTTGTTGGTGCAGCCCACACAGCCCTTGGACCCTTGCAAACGCACCACAGCCGTGCATTCGACAGAGCGACCCACCGCCGTGCGCCCGACACCTTCCTCCTGTTTGCGAGGGGGTCGTGCATCCCTCCATGGAACATGCGACGGACCCGCCGTGGCGGGAGCACCGTCCTCGCCGTCTCGCGTACGAGCTGCACCCTGCGACTTTGCACATGCGCGCGCTTTTCAGCGTTGGCATGGGATTTCTTTCGTCTTGCTGGGGCAATCCCCGACTCTGCGCCGTCGTGGGATTTTGTCCGACGAGGTGGTGTGAGTGGCCACGGTCGCTTGCCTGACTCGTTGGTGATCGTTGCGCAGCGGCAGCATGGCCGTGGTGGAGGCAGTGGCAGTTGACCTTGGCGTAGCGGTGGCACCCCGGAGTCATGCATGGCCTGTAATGCATGGCTGTGATGTGCTCCGCGATGACTTTTGCGAAATGAGCCATGGGTCACCCCTGTAACGTCAGCAACCATGTTGGCCAGCAAGTCCCTCACGTGAAACCTAAAGATTACGAAAAGATAAAAATGCTGCGGGGAGGACCATCCCAGGTTCGCTCCCGCGCCGAGCGCTTTGTCGCGGGAACGCACAGAGCAACCTTGCTGTTGGGATCGCCATGTTCGAATGCACGACTAGCACCCCCCAGAGCACCAGCTCGGTGGGAAGGGTGGGCCGCTGTTGGACAAAACCATTTCCATGGCGCAGAAACGCCCCAAGAAACGGCAAACTAATCTTCGACCATGCGACCTTTCGTCGCATGGCCAGCTGACGTCATGCGGTGTATGTGCTGAGATCTCTGTCTGTAGCACTGGTCCGCACGCCAGCGTCTCATGCAGCCGCAATGTCGATCTGGACGTGGTCCATTCGAGGCACTCGATTTGTGCTTCCACACGGCCATCCCTCCTCGAGACCGGCGTTGGGCTGGGTGATCCGTACAGCTAGAAATGCCGTGCCATTTCAAGCACAGTGCAGCTGAATTCGCCTTTGCGCCAGACTCGAAGCACAGCCTGCTCGAACGACGCCAGTCCCCACACCGCCAAGTTGTACAATCGGGTATCCAAAGCAAGACAAGGTGCTCAGTCATCGAGCGGCGACCGCTGCGTGCTATCGCGTCATAGGGCTCCACGATAAAGGGCATGAGGTTGTAGTTTGCGGCCATGGACACAACGCCCCGCTAGCGGCCCCGCCCCGTCTAGCACGAGGGCCTTGCGGTACATGTCACTTCGAGAGGTTAGTGCAACAACAGGTAATGCCTGTCTCGAACTCCGTGTTGGAGCAGCGAGGACCGTTAGTCGCTCGGTTGATCCATATGCTTTGGAACTCCATCGACGACAGCCTGCAGCGTCCATGGCTTAGCTCGTCAAATCGAATTCGGGAAGACCTCGGCGCAGACAAAGAGCTTTCGATGATGCTTCTCGCGACATGCTTGAGCGAGCAACACACACCTTCGGGCAAGGAACCAAAAGGGCGTGGGAACTTGGAGGCGGAGGGCTGCCATGTGTCTGTGTGCATGAGATGAACGCTGGGGCTTGGGACAGCACTTTTAGAAGCCACGAGCTGCGATGTCGACCACGAACGAGGTTGTCTGACACGGAGCCCCGGCTCATGTTGCTCGCCAACAAACGCGCTGACGTCGGCGATGTCATGTTCCGAACCATGCGTCGCGTCCCACGTGAGTCGAAACGGAACTTGAGGTCGACCGTGTACGCCTCGACGTATTCGGGAAATATTTCGTTTTGGTGCTGCGACCGGGCGCTCGCCCCATCCCTGCGACCGGGCTACCTTGAGCCCCTACTTGCAGCCGTCTCGATTCCCCTTCCCCCCCTTCACCCCACGATGGGGGTAAAGGGTACGACAATCTTCGACCACTGGGACTTCACATTGTGTATCACTGTTGCCCCCACCGCCCCTGTCCCGCGAGTTGTGCGACACGAACCCGCCAGGTTCACCTCGCATCTTTCACTTTGCAATCTCTGTCATGGCTCCGACCTGTGCGTGGACGCTTGCTGAGGTTGGCTACATGCGTGCACCGCCAGCATGCCGTCATGTTTGTATATCTCTGTAGGACCAACTCTTGAGGGATTATGTCTATCTCCATGGCGGCAAACAGTGGCGCGGTGCTGTTGGCCTCTTTGGGTCGCGCAAGTCCATCCGCGACTGCCAGCACCGATGGAAGTGCTTGTCCCAATTGTCCATGGGAAAGCAGGCATGGACCGAAGCCGAAGATCAAACGATGGTGGCGCTCGTGCGGGGGCTCGGGGCCCACAAGTGGGGGGTCATTGCGTCGTACTTGCCTGGTCGCAGTGGAAAGCAATGCAGGGAGCGGTACACAAGTGTCTCCATTGCTGTCCATTCAACCAACGGTGTAGGTGGTGCAACCAGCTCGATCCGTCGATACGCAAGACGGCGTGGACGACCGAAGAGGAGGCGGTTCTGGCCGCCTTGCAAGCGAAATACGGAAATCGATGGTCCGTCATTGCCGAAAAGTTGCCCGGTCGCACAGATAATTGTGTCAAAAACCATTGGCACGCCAGCGTCAAGGTAAGAAAGCATCCCCGTCGTCGACTGGTCAAACTTGACTGTGTGTGAATGCAAAGCCGCACAAGGGCATGGCACATCAGTCCCAACGTCCCCCACCCCCCCTGAAAGTAGAGCCCCGACAGCCACCACTAATGTCCAACACGCTGCCCTCCCTCGACACGGACAAGGACGTGTGGAACCTCCAAGATTTGGATCTGTCGACGGACAATTGCTGGGCTGACCAGGATTTCGTTTGGGACCACGATGGCACCACGAACAGCGACCTCTCCCCCGACGCCATCGTCGACACTCAACACGTCGAATGGCTGTCGTCCGTGGACATTTTCCCCTCCAGTGCCCTGTAGCTGCGTGTAGCCAGAATGCTCCAGTAGTTCACCTAGAGAACACGAACGTGGAGCTGCCCTTGCCGTCAATGAGCAAGCAGCCCGCCACAACGCAAATGCAAACTGTCAGGGAAAGCTGTTTGTTTCAATACTGAATGGGCGTACGTTCGGGATCCAGTCGGGGACGCCGACAAGGGAACGGGGCAAACGCTGATTGCGACAGCATCCACTTGCCCTCTGGCCCCCCCGCCTCTTATCATCCACTGCTCCACTCGTGCCAAGATTCCCGTCGTGCAGCTCCCAGCAGGATGCAACCCCCCTCGACACCCGAGTTGCCAGCAATTTCCGAGCTAAGTGGCGAGTCGTTTTCGAAATGATCGACAGTGAGCCGTGTATCATCAGACTGAGAGGGAAATCGCATGTTGAATGGCCACACATGCCGATTCCTCTTGCGCGGTCGCCCGTGCTATGGAACAATGACGTTCAATGTTACGTTTCATGGACGGATAACACCTCTCAACCTTTCCAGCGAGGGCGAGCGACTCGACAACATCGACTCGCAACAGCATGTTGTGCATATTTCACAATGTGAGAGAGCGAGATCAACGTATGACGAATCCATGCACGATCCGAATGAACATGCGCCGTGCGGTCCTTTCGTCGAGCGTCAAGCAAGCTCATTCCAATTATAGTCTATCCGAAACAAACGAATATATACCCCCTTCTCGCGATCCCCCGGTATGAAATGCATGGATGTCTACCATTTGTCGGCCGTCAAGTCTCCCCTCCGAGGGGGTTGTGACGATTCCCATGGTGCTGATGGATCGTCGATCTCAACTCTAGCTGATGGTGGCACGAAGCCTAGGAATGGTCCAAACTAGCTGTTTGACGGGTCGCTGCATGCTCCAGGATATGCGACACAGTCGTGGGTCCTCGCATGCTGCGTGGCACGGGTCGCCATGCCGTCATAGAGAACATCTCACGGCCGAAGCTACGGTGCGGCGCTTTAATAGCACAACTAAGCACTACAGGGGGCAGCAGGACGGTCGTTCCTAGTGCCTTGATGAGCACAGAGTGCGGTAGGTTGTACGGGACAACGCCAGCTTCACGAATGGTCGCCTCACTTAGATTTTGATACCGCCCCATATCTGTTCATTTCATCGCTTCGCTCCTCGTCGGTCCATAGGGCGGTGGATTTCAAGTTTGAACGGCACGATCCGTGGGACTGAGGCCTGACGAAGTACGTGTGGCACTGTTTGGGCCATGACGTCACAGGGATAGCCACATTGCTCAACCCTTCAAATGTTCCTCCGTGCACGATGGGGGGTCACGCTAGCAGACGCTTGTCGAGGGATGCATGTTGCATGGGCGCGAGAAAGGAGCACATCATTGAAAGGTGCTTCGAACAAGCCCGTGCACTTAGTTCTACATTACGATGGTTTGACCACAATGGAGTCGCTCATGGCCGTATATCATGGCAATGGGATGCACTCAGGTCCTGGTATCGCGCAAAGGATACGCACCCGACGACTTTGAATAGCGTGCCACCGCCATGTGAGCGGCACCGGCCGGCCGTTTACGTATTGCACCCATCCACTTGGTCGCGCCGCCGTGCCTAGAGCGCCTCGCAAAGGGTGTGCAGTTGGGTTCAGAGCAGTACGTCTTTGATGCGGGTGGCCGCGATTGCTTGGGTCGAGGCAGCTGCGGGGGATGTGTCGCTCCGTGCGTGGCCACGGGCGCCGGTGCTGTCGGGCTCGCAAGGGCGTGTAAGTGGACGTCTCGCGCATGATGGATGCACATCTCCAACGTCTTCGCAAAGGACGAGGAATGGACGAAGATCGCAGGCCATGCGTTGCCCTGGCATGGCTGGATCGGAAAATACTAAGACGTGAGCCGTTGCGCCTCGTGCGAAACTGTTTGTCGTCGGAACAATCCGACTGCGTACCTTACGGGCTAAGAATATGTCGACACAGAGACTACCGGCACGCCATATTCGCTGCATTCATGTCAAAGACGGTTTGAGGTGCAAACGCGAAGTGTTTCGAGCCGCGACACTGCATGGAGCTGCCGCTTCATGGCTCACGTGTACAAAGCAAAGGCACGAAACCCCCACGTAACCGCCGCATGCTGAAACCGTTGGGGTCGCCGTTATGTTATCGAGACACCTCTGCATTTGGTCGATGCACGTTGAGCCGGGCTGCGATTGCCGTTTTTTCGAGAGACGACGGAATGGTTGGCGCTCCGTGCTGTTGTGCTCATTCCGTTGTCCATGACAAGATGAAGAAGTCATGGCGCGAGTGTGTGTGGGCAACGGGCGTTCGCAATCTCGTGGCATCATTCACCACGTTACTCGGTTCACACGGCTCAGTGTCATCGCCATATCCGTGAGGCTCCATGTAAGTATAGAAATGGTTTTTCACGCAGCCTTTTCGGCACGTCTGGAACTGCAGGAGCTGTCCGCGAACGCACGAGTGACGAACCAGGCGAAACTATCCCCACTTGTGAATCGATGCATTAGACGCGCGCCTTCTGTCGTTGCTTGGTCCGGGGGTGGGTGGGATGTCATGATGCGTCACTCAGGTCTCCCCCAACGTTTTCGGCATTTTTTCTACCATGCCTACCATTCCATGCTGAATGAGGAGGAGGGAGGCTCGGCGACGACGAGTAAGTCGAAAAACAGGAAATACCAATCATGTCCATCCCGTGGATGACTTCCGACGCTTCACATGTCCATCAGCGCCCATCCGATGCCAGCGAGGATGTCGTGGCGACTGGGTGAGACATCAAAGGACTAAATTGCTGAGGCAAAAAATATGCTCCAGGGGGGGTTCGAACCCTCGACCTGTGGCTCATAAGACCACCGCTCTACCTACTGAGCTACAGGAGCCACCGCGTTACGAGTAAAATAATTTTATATAAAAAGTAATAATTCTAGTTGTGATTTTGCGCAGCGCCGTTCCTCGCTCATTGGCGACGGCGGTGTGCGTCGGGGCGGCGATGCACACCTGTAACTGTGCAATACATCGCTGTTGAAGCGGTCGAGCCCCTGGAGGTGTCCTGTATGTCCACAGTACACTTTTGTATTTCTTCGCTAAGTTCTTGAGCAGTAGTACGGATGGGAATCAATCGACGAGGTGTCCGCGTGGAAGCGACTGCCAACATCATGGGGAACATGACGTTTTCATGCTCCTCTGTTGATCGTGCTTGAGTTGTGCGAACTATTCTTGGCCTTGGCGAAACACCTACTAAAGTCGGCGGTTTCAGTGAGCGGCGACGGCGGCGGTGGCGGCCCGCCCAAAATCACCAGCTACGATGGACCCCGACTTACATCTAAAGATGAGCAAGAAGATTGCCCAGCTCACCAAGGTTATATTTCACCTGAACACCAAGAACGAGGATGCCGCGATGGAGCTGCAAGCCACCGTGTACAGCCATCGCAAAGAAAACGAAGCACTGGCCAAGGAGGCCGCGGCCAAGATGGCACAGCTCAAGGAGAGCCTGGACAAGAGGGAGGCGCAGCTCAAGTCAATGGAGAGCATCAAGAAAATCAAGGAGCGGCATCAAAAGGACAAAACGGAAGCGCTCGACGAGTTCAAGCGGTACAAGGACGAAGTCAAGGCCCAACAAGCGCGCATGGAGGAGCAGTTCCAGAATGAGCTCGAGACGATGGGAAGCGAGCTGCGGAAGGCGCGAGCGGCGTTTCAAGACCGCATCTCGAGTCTCCAGACGGCGCTGGAAGCCGTCCAGTCCAAGGCTAGCCATGGCCAGGTGCGCCGAAGAGGTCGATTCATGTCTCCTCATGAAGGACCAGGCGGATTTAGTGGCCATGCGAGCCAAGCACACGGACGAAGTGGCTGACATGGTGACGCAGTCCAACAAGAAGTACAATGACATGCTCACATCGCAGCTCAACCAACAAGTGAGTACCCTATCTCGATGTAGCCTTCATCCGACTCCTCCTTGTCCAGGATCAACTGCGAGCCGAGCACACCACCAAACTAGCTGCGCTGGAGAAAGCGCATCAGTTCCAGCTTCAACAGCTTTCCGAGAAGGCCGAAAACGACGCCAAGATGGCCGTGAGGAGATGTGAGATGGAGTGCAATTCGTCGGCAGATTCGATGAAGAACGACATGGTGACCAAGGTAAAGTTCACCTTTGTTGCATGCGGTTCCAACAACGTCGTGGTAGATGGAGCGCTTGCTCAGCGAGATCGAGACGTTGCGCAGCAGCGACACGCAGCTGCGGTCCGAAAAATCTGTGAGGAAATCATGGCGAGCTTGGAGGAACGCATATGAATCGTTCCGTAGGAGTTGCTGCAACAACTCACATCTCTCCGCGCGTCGATGAAACAAGTGGAAATTGACCTGCTCAACGAAAAACGCAGTGCATCCACGCTGCTCCAGAACGCGGACGCGGCATTGCAGGATGCCGACGCCAACTTAGCCGAGCGTCAAAGCCAAGTGGTGCTTTTGGAGACAGAGCTCGCGAAGTTTCGCGCTCAAGTGGAGGCACTGGATGGAGAGCGGCGGCAGTTGCTCAAGGTGGTCGATACGTTGCATTCCGAGAACCAGTCGACGTCAACGAGGTGCGGGAGGCCATCGATCGTTGCTTGGAATGGTGCTCACGAACGTCCAGTCTCTCGGATAAAGAAAACCAGTGGGGCGCGTCGATCAAGGCGCTCGAGGCCGACATTGCTGCGACAAAGAAGCAACTCAGCGACAAAAATGCTGAAGTGCAAAAGTTGCAAAGCTTGATCAAGGCCATGGACACACAGCATGCCAAGTCCGAGGACGAAATCAAAACACAGTTGCTCGCGGCGCAGAAAAAAAACAAAGAGTTGCTGAGCAACGCAGCCGCCGCCACGACGCGCGAAGACGCAGTGGCCAAACAGCTCGAGACGAGCCAAACCGACTTGAATCGTGCGCATGGTGTGTAGTCAAAAACACATATGTATCTCCATGCACGACTATCGTGTGTAGGCGAGAGGCAAGCCGCGGAAGCAGCATGGGAAGCAACTCAAGGGAAACTCCATGCCTCGATCGCATGGCTCCAGAACGAAGTGAAAGTCCTTGAGCAGCGACAAGTCGACATGACCAACGACCACGACAAAGCAGTCCGGGAGCTGCGCTTGGCAGCGCAGACCACATCCCAGTCCCAACAGGCTGAATTGGAAAAACAGATCCAGCATTTGCAAACACACGTGGGGCAGTTGAACATGCAGCTGGCAGCGGTGGGAACGAGTGCCGTGGCAGTGTCTCCACACCTAGCAACGTTGTAGGCCCAAGGCGCGCTGTCGACGAGCGAGAACGACCTCGCGGAGCGAATGGATCTCCACAAGAAGGCGCTCGCCGACTGTAAAGCCTTGCAAGATCAGCTCAAGCAAGTGGGAGCTGCAAGCCAAAAGGACCACAGGGTCTGGCAAACGCAGCTGGCCGCTCTTGTACGTTGCTTCCTTGGTGAAGAAATCCTGTATAAAGTTCTCACGGGGATGGTTAGGAAGCAGAAAAGGACAAAGCCGCGAAGCGGGCCGTCAAGGATAAAGTCGCGATTGAAAAGCTCGAGGGGGAGTTGAAGATTGCCAAGCACAAAACCGAAATGAACGGCCGCAACCACGCCGAGGGGTTAGCAGCGCTGAAAGAAGAACATGCCGGCCAGCTTGAAGCGCTGCGCAACACCATGGCGGCGACAATTCAAGAAGGTTCGTCCGTCTCATGCTGCCAGTTCACTCTGACCATCTTTTTCATTCAAGCCGTGGTCAAGGCCGAAGCAACCATGCAACAACACGTCGACGACCAGCGCGCATTTCTTCTCTCGATGCACAAGGCCGAGGTCGCCGACATGCAAGAGCAGGTCGATCTGTGGAAGCAGAAGCACCTAGAGGCGCAGCTCGCATTCGACGACGAACGGCGAGCGCAGCGTACGTGTTGTAGCTGGGTTACGGCAGCCACAATTAATTGTCTTGTCTGTAGTCCAAGCCCACGCAGCAACGTGCAGGGCGTTGGAGCTCGAGCACAGCAACGCGCGAACGGCAGCGGCAAGTGCTTGGCAAGACAAACTGAACGCGATGGTCGCGCGCCACGACGAAAACGTGCGGCAACTGACTGCCGGGCACGGCGCCGAGACCTCTGCGATCCAGGCGGCATTCACCCAACAGATCAATGCCGTGATTGCCCAAGCTTCGTCTGAACGGGACGGTCTCCTAGCCAAACACTCGCAGGAACTTCAACAGCTCAATCAGGCGCGGCGAGACGAGTTGGAGGGAGCTGCGACGGAGCTAGCCCGTAGGCTGGCCGACCTACGGGAGAAAAAGGACACTGAACATCGCACCGCGACGGCCACGCTGACGGCCCAGCACAACCAAGTGGTGGCGCAGTTGGAACATACCGTCGAGAGCTGCAACCAGACGATCGCACGGCACGTGGGGTCGATGCTTGCCCTCGAGAACGACAAGAAAGCCCTTCAGAAAACGATTTCCGTACGTTGGCCACTGTGACACGTGCGATACATGACCCGAAACATGCGCAGGAAAAAGAGGCGGAACTCGTCGAAAAGGAGCTGTGTTGGCAGCGGGACAAGGACCGCGCCCTCGATCTGGCACGGAAGCACCACAAAGTCGAGTTGGAGCAGACGATTGAAGTGCACTTGCATGAAACGCAGGCGCTCAACAGTACGTGGCAGCGCCGTGGACCACGTCAACGTATTTCACAATCGGACAGACCAATTCGACAAGACGCGGGCGCTGTTGCATGAACAGCAGCATCAGCTTGTGAGCAAGATTCGCGAGTGGGAGCAGGTCTATGCCCGCCGCGACAGCCGCCTCGAAGACTTGAATCGCATCGCCGACCTCGAACATGGTACGGCATCGGGACATTTGACCTTGGTTCGTCCAATACCGCGTGTGCAGACGTGGCCGAAAAGGACGCGCTCGTCCAGCAAACTGTCGACGAAATGGCCTACATCAAGCGGGAGCTGCTCAATCGCGAAGACACGTACAACAAAACTTTTGGGCGGAGCCCGAATGTGGGAGTGCTGCACGTGCTCAAACCTGCGCCGCCGCCGACTGCCAAACTAAAAAAGATGAAAACGCAATCGGGGCTAACGAGTGCGCTGCCGTCCAACAACGCGTCGGCGGCGAGTCGCCCGCTGCCACCCATCGGCGCGAGCAACCTACAGCAATCGTCCAGCTATCGGGATTTGAATCAAACCTAACACACTCGAGTTCGACACTGCCGTGGCGTGGGGCCGTTGAGTTGCCCGAGGGATGGGGTGCATGCTCGGCGCGGAGAGCGGCAACGGGACCGAGTTGTAGCCGCAGCTACCAACTGTATTCGGCAGACTAATGCCGAGCATGCCCGTCGTCCGTTGTACGCACTACCTGGCATGCGGAGGTAACGAGCGGCGGAACTACCACATCCTGTTTCGACGGTGAAGCGATGGTTCCACGGCTGCAGCATGCAGCCACATTCATTTCTGAACTAGTCGTATGCACGCGATGGCGGACGCGAGGCGACGAGATGTTTGCAAATGGCCTGGAAGCGTCCAATGGAGGATGCGGGGACGTGGCGAAGTCGACGTGTTCCGTCCCGTCGTTATCCCCTGATGCGTCGGTCTGAATCATCCGCTCATCTCGCCATCTCCTTTACCTAGCGCCGTCAAAAACCTTCCTCGTTTGCTTGGCGGCTTGCACACTCGATCGATGGCCATCGCTGCCGTGCCGCTGCATTGCGCGCAGATCCATGATGATGTCCTGTCTACGGCTTTGTCCTCGGTAAGCTGAGAAGATGGATACGAGTAATCTGCATTCTCATCCATACATTGAATACATTAAGACAATATAAAATTGCTTGATAGCTGTTCAGATAATACCCGACATTCTACATGCACACTGTATCGTGCCCTGGACAACCCGACGACGATTACACGGAAGCGCCGAACTGGGTCGGATCCGTTGGCATCCACGGTGCGCCCCCCCCGGCGCGAAGCAGATGCGCAGAGACTAGCACCACCTCCAGGCCACTACAGCTCCAATCTGTGGCCGACCCGTCCGAGCCGCACGGGTTTAGCGATGCGTGTTGACACGTGTGCGTGGGGCGCCAACTCTGTCGTCAGTCGTGGCAGATCAGAAACCAATCGCTTGTCGGTTGGGTTGCCGGGTGGCCGCATTCCTCAATTTCCCACGACATGCGCGTCCCTGGTCTTGTCCTTCTCGCGGCAGCGATGGCCTCTGCGGCGCTCCTCTCGGCGGACGAGGCGGTCCCTCAAACGATGCAAGACGAACCACGCCACTTGAAACCTTGGTCCACCGGCGGCAAGTCTGTCGTCGAGCGAGATATTGTCCCCGGCACTGCGGTGTATGAAGAAGCGGATGCCAAATCTGACGACGATGATGACGATGA